GATGTACTTCAAGACATACATTCCACAATCACGGCTGAAAATAAATTTATCTTAGCAATATAAATTAAACAGATGAAATTTAGCATAATGGTATGATGTTAGATGGATATACCCGTGTGGTTGCGTATGAACATCTAAACGTTGATGTGAAATAACTGTATAGTCTTTGAAAAATCGACCCAATGGATTTCTTCGCGTAGCACTGCTAGCATATTTCATCTGTTCACATTTTCAAATAACATTATAATTACACATCAACAACATGTTTTTATAAGGCTAACACACAGCTAGTCAATTAGTTACCATATCCATTGAAAGAAGCATTCGTCCATTAGTATTCTCTTGAGGATCAACAATGTACACCATTTTATCAAAGACATGATATACTAGTAGGAACCAATTTGGTGCGCCTAATTCCGTAACCGGGATGAATATCTTTTGAACATACATCATTTTATGACGCACATACCATTAAACACATATGCAAAAATGTACAAAACAAACAAAGCTCAAACTTGTTCAATCTTGTTGAGATCTCCACACGGTACAAAGGGTTCAAACACTTTGTACTAGTAATTAAGAGTCTATTGATTTATCATATGCGGGCACCGTTCATCTGATCTCATTACTATAGTCTGGGTGCAGCATGTAATTATACTATTGTTATAAATCATAATCAATTGACATGTGTAGTAGTAACTATTGTCAATACCTGAAATATTGCCGGCAATATGGGCTTAGTTGGGTCATTTAATCCCATTACCATATCATATAAGTACACATTTATCAGAAAAAAAACCAAAACAAAACAAATGACATATATGATAACATGTCTATAAACATTAAACTAAGGGTTGGAAGATTACAATATATCATACCTGAGCAGATAGAAATCTATCTGGATACAAAGACCAAGATACACTAATGGTCAACCTGATAATTGGTTTATTTTTGGCACAATAGAATTCTTCAGAATGTCGTTTTTGTGAACCATGATATATATGTTTCTCCAAAGATGTTAGTTGTGATACATATTCAAGAAATAGGAGAGTTGGAGAATGCTGATCTTGAAACTGATTCACATCACCATTACCATCGAAACTTTGTACTTTAACCTTATTACTTGGTCCCTGCGTGTAATGCGTAGAAATTTAGATAACAATGAACCATAGTAAAATAGGGTAATAAAATAATTATGCAATAACCAGTACTGTGTTTAGTCATTGCTATATTAACAAATAATTTTATACAAGATCACCTCTCCATTAAATGCATTCGTAATTCATTTCTTCTGCCTCTTTGATTTTGATAATTGGGCCTGCATATAATTGTTTGTACGATGTCACTTTTTTGGATCAAATAGAGTTGAATATTAAAATAAGAAACATAATGGAAATATGATTACCCATTCTCCAAGAGTTTTGTTTTCCTTTTCGACGGAGCACGTTGATTTTTTTCATGACCAGGCGTATGTTGCTACAATACACAGTTAGCAATAATCATTACACATATTTAATTGTAAGGAATTATTCATGTCTATTACCTTTTCCACTTGTGCTTTTGATTTGCTCTTATTTCCTTTTTCTGGGCTTTGAGGACGGTGAAAGCTTTATAACATGTAATGACCAAAATATTAATGAAAGTTTACCACAAATTAAAAATATATTAATTAAATGTAATGATTAATATAATAATGAATGATTACCTTTTCTACAATCACAGAGTTATCGATTAAATGATTTATTGCTCTAGTCCTTGGCCTCTTATGCGGTCTCTTCTTTGAATTTGAATCTGAGGAAATCATGTCATTAGATTTGTCAATACCAGTCTTTGGTGTTGGTTTTGGCTTTGGAGTTTTCACTTTTATGTCAGGGCTTTTAGCCTTCTCTTTTGCTTTTGTGTCCTTCAGTGTTTCCTCCTTATCAATAATGTCCTTTAGTGTTTCAAGACCCGGCGGAAATTGAGTCTCATTAAAACGGATATTACAAATGCTAAATGAATCAATATCCAAGCATTTTAACTCGTTCTTGTTCTTCATCGGAAGTGTTTTCCCACATCTAGAGAGTTTTCCACATCCAGAGTGTTATCGACATCAAGAGTGTTGTCCACATCTGGAGTGTTTTCCACATCTAGCTTTCGCTTGGTGGTTGAGACACGTGTACTGACAATCAACTCACCATCAACTCACCATTAGCGCTTAGGAAAGGAGACTTAGAGCGATTTAGGAGTTGTTGATTCGCAATGGTACCGATTGATTCTGGAACCTTGGACGTACTATTGGATAAACTTTTGCTTATACTTGCAACTTCGGTAATTAGTGCAGCCAATGATACCTCCATGTTTGACACTTTGTTGTGAATGTCTTTTATCATTCCCTTATATTCTTTATATTTCTACAAGGAAAAGGCAAGTATTTTGGTATTGATTTTACTAATGACAAGAAATTCCAAATCTTTGTCGATGACATAAACCCTAGATATATGCAATTAATTTGTTCTTGAAAAATTTCAATAGATAAACCCTATATACATATATGCAATCAATGTTTAAAATCGAATATAAATTACACAATTTAATAATTAAATTAGAGTACAAATACATATAAACAAACCTGTTTAGAGTAACTTACATCTGCTTTCTTTTTAACCATGGTTGGTGTTCAAAGGCAATATTCGGCAATCGCAAAACTTGCAAAAAGAGTTTTCCGTGTAGAACGATGGAGATGTGCAACTTAAAATATTTTGAAAATATTAAAATATAATCTTTTCAAATTTTAAAATTATACTAAGAAATAATCTATAAAATAATTATAAGATAAGAAATTAGGAAACTATCCTTTTTTTTAATTGGTGATTGAAATGTTTTTTAAATAATATTTCTATTGTTAATAGATATCCTAAAAGATCTTTCAAAAAAAAAAATAGATATTCTAAAAGATATTGATTCCATAAATTTTTTTATATTTAATAATTACATTTGATTGAATTTTATTTTTATACATGATTAGGTAAAATTATCTTCTAATGGTCGCACATTAATTTAAATTAATTAGTAATGTCCAACATAACATAGGGGCATAACTGTTTAATAGTTAAGTTGTACATAATAGGTAATGTCTTATTTATGAGTATGACAATTCCTTACACACAAACACGATTTGGAATTCCCGTCTCCAACATTTTGGATCAAATAGCGTTTCGAAGAAAAACGATACGGTTTCGTAACTGGTTTTCTTGAATAACCTAGATCACCAAAATAAATCAAATTTTTTGTGATCGAATTCATAAATTCGATGTTTAAGCATCCGCTGATTGATATTGTACAAATGAAATCTAATTTTCTACAAACGCCGATATGAATCAGGACTGTAGAACTTATTTCGTTTTCTCCATCCACGCACAAATGTAGAACTTCTCTATCGGTTTATTCATCGACACACGACTGTTGACCTTAATTTCTAGAGGAATTCAGCGATTGTTGAACAATGATGTTGAAGAATTATTGGTTTCTTCATTGAAGGATGTTGAAGAATGTCGATGAACAATGATGAATTACGAAGAACGATGATGAATTTTTTTTAATTATTGTTTTTTTTAATTTAATCTTATTTTTTTATTTAATTAAAAATTGAATTTTATAAATATATTACGAAAATTATAAAATGATTTTTGAAATTACAGTAATTAATTTTTGAAAATTAAAAAAAGAATTAAAAAAGGGAAATACCTAAAATAACCTTTGACCAAACCTTAAAACAAGATAAAAAATCCACCAATCATGTTTAAGTATAGTGGTAGTACAAATGAAATGGACCATAGTAGAAACATCCAAATAAATTTTTACAAATAGGTTTAAGGTTTCCCTTGAGGATTTCTTGTCACTTGTTTTAGTTAATACATAATCTTTGCTTCTCTAGTCGTGATATTTGCCAAGCTCCCCTGTTAACCGAAGTAGTGAACTAAAGGATTCAATCTTAACTGCAAAGCTCCAGTAATATGATGAAAGACTCATTAAATGAGGTTAGAAATATGTATGACATGATATACTTAATTGTTCCAAGTCTCAACAACCTAGAAACTTACATTTTGGAAGGACTATAGCAATGACAAATAAAATATCCAATAGTCTAATAATTTGTGAACCTTTAATTTTTATTGAGTAATTTAGCATCTGTCTCCCTTGAAATCTATTATGTGGACACTTATATACAGACATCTAGTGCAATATATGAATTTTAATTATTTTGTTGTTATTTATGCATTTTATTTAATTCAAATATATTAGATTTGACTTTGGGGGTACTAGGCTTATATATCTTAGCGACTTTTTTTTACCTGTAGTTGCCCATTTATTTTAAGTGATTAAAACCTTTGTGTTGTTTGTAGGTTGTGAGAAATGAACTAACCATGTGTTTATGAAAAACATGAGGAGATGGTACAATGTTTTAACTGAGAATGATCACTGATTTTTTGCTGAGAAGCTAGTCATTTATTCTATTGAATGAAAGCAGAATGAGAGAGTGTGAATCCAATTTATCAAAGTGTAGTACATTTTCTGATAATGCATAATGCAATTTCAGCTTTATCAACTTAACCTTGTTTGTCTAAGGTAGTGTAATATCACTGTAATCTACACCTTGTTTGTTTTAATCTATATGCTCTAGACCTCTCATATAGTGTCTTTTTTTTTACAATCTTTTATTGTATGTGATATTGTGAATGGCTGAAAGCTGATGTCTTACACTGTCAATGAATGCCAAATTTTCATTTCCTCAAAAGGATGGCATATATGACTTTTGGAACTGATTTGACGATAGAACCTGGTAATTGCTGTTACAATTGGCTAACCAATATATAAAAATTCATTTATGTACTTGCCTTTTCCTGTTGGATTTGTACTGGATGTTTTAAAATAATTTATGTGATTATCCCCCTTTTCAGGTACCCACTGGGTCGTGTGATTGGCGAAACCGTTTATCCTAGATTAACGACACTGACGACAGGTACCATGTTGTGGTAAGTTTTTCATACTTTAATCAAACTGAAGTATATTTTTAATATGGTAAGTTTTCTATACTTTAATCAAGGCCAACAAGTGGTTCATCTGAAGCAATTTGAAGCTAAATTCAACTCACTCCTTATTCATTCATCGTATCATGTCTAACAAAGGTGCTGCTTGATTACTTTTCATAGGATTTGCGAGGAAGGGTATGTTAAGGCTATCAAGGAGGAGATCAGCAAGGTTGTCAAGCTCCAAGAAGAACTTGACATTGATGTCCTTGTTCACGGAGAGCCTGAGGTGAGTTTTATGCATAATGTTAATCCATAGAAAAGTTTGTATGCTAGGTTCTCATCTTCTGCCTGCATGTGCATTTTTGGTTTTGTAGAGGAACGATATGGTTAAGTACTTTGGAGAGAAATTTTCTGGTTTTGCATTCACCAGGAATGGATTGGTACAATCATATGGATCTCGATGTGTGAAGCCACCAATTATCTATGGTAATGTCAGCCGCCCCAAGCCAGTGATTGTTTTTCTGGTCATCCACTGCTTAGAGCATGACTTCCCGCCCAATGAAGGGTATGCATATAGGGCCTGTGACCATCCTCAACTGGTCTTTCGCCAGTAATGACCAACCTAGGTATGGTCTCTTTCCTCAGATTCTCATAAAACTCTTCTCCAAATAGATGGTTTGGATTGTGGCTCAATTTCTCATATATTTATTTGTGTTATTGTGTATTCAGGCATGAGACTTGCTACCAAATTGCTTTGGCCATCAAGGATGAGGTTTGAGGATCTTGAGAAGGCCGATATCAATGTTATCCAAATTAACATGGCAGCTTTAAGAGAAGGTTTACCACTCAGGAAGTCTAAGAAACGGGTTCTACTTGAAGTGGGCCGTCCACTCCTTCCTTCACTAGTGGAAAAAAAGCTGCAATTTTTTATATTTGTTATAAAGCAATAATTGGTTTTGTTTTCTCTTATCTTTTTTCAAATTCAATGATTTACTATACGTCAAGTTGGTTGATTTAGTCTTTGCTATTCAAATTGAATGATTAATTGTTTTGATGGAATTGATATGTTGTTTGTCAATTTGATTGAATTGTTTGTTTAATATAATTGAATATGATGGATTGTTTAGGCTGATGATCAACCGGACCTGAGGCCATATGGGCCTTATTACCTAGAAGGGGAATAAGTAATTGGATGGCATTTAGAAGTTGCTGAAATTTGCCTTTGACTGGTGCAAAACAAAACTGCCCTGGGGTATTTCTTTTTTTTTCTTTGTTGATTTTTTTCAATTTCATCAAATTGATCAAATTGCTAGATGGATTTTAAGTAATGTGCATTTCATTTATGTTGTGGTTTCATGACAACCTCTGCCGAATAAAGAATGGCTTAATGGTTGGAGTATTAAGAAGCTTTCCTATGGGATGTTTGTATGTTTCACTTCCGTATTAAAGCTGTAGGCAGTAGGCTAGCAGCTATGGTTGATTGGTTAACTGGGTTTATATTGTAGTAGTTGAGAGAGTTAATGATAATAAACTATAAACTTCTATCTATGATATAATAGTAATGCATGCTTTGGGATTGCTTTTGTTCTTCTTCAACTTGGGGTTAACTTATGCAAATTTGATAGATCAAATACCAGTTTTTTCCATACCTCTTGCATTCTCTTTTTTCTTATGGGTGGAGTGGGTTTGAAATTTCATTTAGCCTTAAGGATGTTATTTAAAAGTTAAATTTACCTGTTGTTTTCTTTTTCTAAAGGTACGAAAGGATTTTACAAGTGAAGTTAATTCTGCAATCACTGCATTTTGAGGGTTGTCTATAAGCTTATCATAAGGTCAGACAGACCTTTTCTAGTTTTTTCGAGTTGCTGCTCATGAAGCGAAAAAATCTCGGTCTCAAGGTCGAATATTAAGTGTGGTAAGTGAGTTCAGTTGTAAACCATTGAATTTTGTACAGTAGATTGTTCATGAATGCAGAGCGCATTGATACTTTTATGTTTTGCTCTACGAGAGTAGTAGTACATTTTGCTTTTATTCTTATGTGCTCATTATTTTTATAGTGAGGTTGTCTAGGCAGATATAGAAAAGTCAATTTCTGAATTTTTGCAAGTTGTAATCTTTGATGTAAATTTTTGAAATTTGCAATTTCTGAAGTTCGTTGCGATTTATTTTATAGTTACTGCCAAATTAATGATGCCCTGCTGGCTGTATTTGATATCAACCATGTATATGAGACCGAGTTCAGAGCAGAGTGGTGCCGAACTAATTCTACAGCTGCTCCTTGCTTTCTATTTGCAAGGAAATTCTCGCAGGGGGTTGCTATGCGGCTTTTGAGTGAAAGATGGTTACAATAGTACTCTGTTGCTCGTTAGGGTACCATTGTTATCCCTATGCAAAATTTGTAGATCTTCAGTGTAACATGTCTAACCTAAACTCCAACAATACACGATCTGGGACTCTTATGGGTAGTATGTTGCGAGAAGTATGATGCCTGATTTTTTTATTTTGATTGTATATTACTCGTCAATTATCAATATATATATATAAAATAATTGCGCAAGCTGTCCAACATGTGCTGGATTTTTTTTATTTGATCTCACAATATTCGTAACGGGCAGAACCTGCCCGTTACAAGTAACCCCGTTATTCGCAACGGGCACCTGAAAAACCCGTTACGAATAACCCGTTAATCGTAATGAGCACCTGAAAATCCTGTTACGAATAACGGGTTATTCGAAACGAGCTTTTCAGGTGCCCGTTACGAATAACTTATTATTCATAACGGACAGAGCTTGTTAGGAATAATAAAGGCCATCTGTAACGGCCGCTGCCCGTTACGGATGGGCAGTTTTCCACTAGTGGCACTCTGAAATTGAAAACTGGGGATTCAGCCAGTCAAATACTATTTTATGACAAAACTTCACAAAATTGAAAAATTCAGTCTGGGCATACCCTATCACTTTAGCTGGATATTCATTTGTTCTAGTAGATCCTTTTGGATCTGAGCTGCTGACTTAGTAGGTGTCTTGTTTTCGTCAAACATCTTTAAGCCCTTTTGATGTTGTAGACACCTAAAATATCTCCCGGAAACAAAACCTGATGATAAACAACCTTTCACCGCCATTATTGGTTGGGTTGAGAATCTAATCTTTGGAGTTCTTAATCCATATTTCATAAACCAACCTAATTTTTTGCCTATTTCCCATCACCATAACTTGTTTGCCTCTTTTGTGTCCACGTCATATAAACGAGCTAATATTATTTTGTGGCTATGAAGTTTTGATCCAGTAATTATTTGCTCGGATAGTTCTTTCAAAAATCATTCCAACAATAAATCATAAGCCCAATTCCGATTTAAAACAAAGAAGATATGAGTCAAACACTAAACTCGGCCCAAAACTGACACCCTTTAACTAAAACATCCATATTTTAAAATATAGAAAAGATTTTTACCTGATTCTAATTGGGTTGGAAAGTAGACTTGATAAACTTTTCCAACGATGTATTATATGCCTTATTGCAAGTTACGGATCAAAAGTTGTCATAGTATTAAAAACGTTTTAAAAACTAGAATTACTACGCAGCAGCTATAACGCTGCGTCGCGGAAAAATCTGACGTAACACGGTACCTGGTGCCATGACACGGTAATTTTCACCGTATCACGGTGCTTTCCCATTTCTTTTCCGCGTTCAATTCTTACGTGCTTATGAACCTGACGAGTGTTTGGAAAATTGTACACGATGTCATGGTGTGTTATACCGTGCCATGGTGTCCTTTTCCGTGTCACAGGATTTTTCTACATACTCTCCGCGTACAACTCTTCACGCGCTTTATTATTTTAGCCATATTTAGGGCAAAACTCTGTGCCGCACCATGGTATATTATACTGTGACACGGTGCTCACAGTAAATTAGGGTTTATCTTCGGCTCTAAGGTTTCGTGCATCCTTCTATTAATTTCCTCTATAAATACAAGCCTCATTTCTACAGTTCGAGGCATCAAATAATTTTCTATTCTCTCTTCTATGCTCTAGCCTAATCACTAACCTACCGTATTCTCTCACAATACTTCCCTTAAGCACTCAAAGGAGTCCATACGTTACCCGAGGTTCCATCCTTAAACCAAGGCATGAATGGTAGAACTGTTTGAGGGTTTGGCCCCAAATCAACTTTTTTTAATTTAATTTTATCTATTGTTTTATTAATTTCCTGGAAGTTACTAACGCGTTTATTATTTCGTAGTTGCAAGCAAACAAAATTAAAATATGGAATCATGTTCCTTTTATTTTTTTAATTTTCTAACGATTGTTATTATGTTTATAATACATTAATTCTTGGATTATTATTAAATTGCTTCCAATATTATTGTTAATTTTTATTATATTTATTGATCACCATATTGCATGTTTAAAGGGAATATGTCATTGAATATTACGCCTAATAAGAAAATTTGGACAACCGATTTAGGTTCCTTTTTTAATTTTGTTATTAATTAAAGTGAACACTAATATTTGATTTGGGGCGAATTGAATATTTTGTTTGTATGCCTTTGAGATTGCAGGAATCACTTTTCACTATAAGAATCGAGTAGAGGACAATATGGGAGAATGTGAATCCATGACTCACTTCGACCATCATCCCTGATCTTCCTTTCGTTAGTAATCTCATATATTATGAATGGGGTGTAACCCTCACGAATCAATCGTTGTTGTCTTTCGTTGTCCCTTTATCGTGGTTGCCTTTAAATGATTCGTGAATGATTTACATGTTTCTTTAAAACTTGTTGGCGGCTCCCTACTTTACTCGTTCCTAGTCATTGTCCCTAATCGTACATGTCAATTCCTACTTCCTAAGAGTGTCAAGCATATTCACATATGCTTAACGTAGGCGCACTTCAAACAACGCCTACAATTTGGCGACTCCACCATGATGGATTTTTGGTTATTTATCTATTTGAGTGATAAGTATTTAATTAAGATGAGTGGGTGAGATTTAAAAGATTCTTGAAAAATATTCTTGTAATTAAATTGGCATTTTTTCATATGCGTAGACGTTTTAATGTCGTATTTTAGGTTTACCCGTAGGAAAAGTTGAATAACCTGATTAAAGGTGATAAAAGATACCAACATGTCTTGAACTTCATTAAGTTCCTTGATGGTCAATGGACCATCCTTTTGTACCTTGCAAAACTTCAAATACAGAAAAATTATGTTAGAATTAATTACATAGGCTAAACAATATGTATTTTATCAAATATGGCCTGTATGACTTCTACTGTGCCCATTTTCTACATTTCTTATCAAATGAACTATTTCTTGCTTATAACATGTCAATTATGGCTATTATCAGGTGTCTAAGGCTTGAAACCACATCAATAGAGCATTTTTAATAAGTTTTAAGACGCATCTTACTCA